AGTGGAAAAGAGATGAAGGGTGGTATAAGGGTGCCACAACAGGCAAATGGTGACCAGGGGATGACTGAGCATGTGGGTGGTTTTCCAATCCCATTGGTGTCCAGGTTAGTCGGTGCAGTGCAAAACCCCCAGTTCAAGGGGGTCTCCAGTTAGATCTCCTGTGGGACAGCAAACTGCATGCCTCTGGGTAAATCACAGCATAGACCTATAACTCCCTCTCCAGCTCCATTTCCTTACCTCTGTCCGTCCAAAAGCCAATCTTAGCAGTTGCATTGGTCTGTTTCTCTGGGAGGTTCCCACTGCTCCTTCCCCACTACAGTAGCTCATTTGGGAGGATTTGCACATGAGGGACAACATCAAGCCTGAGGAAACTTAAACATATCATTTTTCACTAGCATTGTATCTCCTCTGTAACGGAGCAGTACCTGGACCAAACAACAGCTGAGGCCAGCAGGCTTTCACTTCCCATTTCGGGGTCCAAGGAAAGGCAAAATGCACAGCACACCTCTGCCTAGCGAGGTGACATTTCTGTAGAGGTCCCACTCCTCTGCAGACTAGAAATACTTCACCAGCCACAGGGGAACTGCTCCTCACAGGTATTTCTCTGCTCAGCACTGAGAAAGAAGCCTCAGCATGAGACCAATCCCGAGAAGAGCTTGAACACTTTACGATGTGGTAGTCAGCAGATACCTGCCCTGGATGTGGAAGACAGGAGGTGCCAGCAGGGCAGTGCACGGGCCTTCTAGCACTGCACTTTCATGGTGTTTCAACCTCTTCCTCCTCATTTGCCCATAGGAGACAGTATCATCCATGAGAAGTGAAGCTGTTGGTAACACATAGCAGCGGTTAAAACGAGATAGCTATCATACTGGTTTATAGGCTTTAGGAATTGCCTTTCATGAAGGCAATAAAATGTTGGGATGGAGTTATCTGTTGCATCCTTAAAGCTTTTTCTCCAGCAATGTATTAGAAGAAATCATAAATAAATAAATAAATATACAACATCTTGTATTAAACACAACAAACAATGGTCAGAAAGCTCGTGTGTCTTACACCTGCATGAAGAGCTAAAAGGAGTTTGGATGAGGTGGTTTTGATAGTGTCTTAAGGTCAGAGGAAGTCAGTCCTCATTAATCTCACTGGTGTGAGGCTTGTGCTGTTGGAGTAAGTGGCCATGCTTGAGAGGAGGACGACTGAGCCTGAAAGATGTAAGACACAGAATCAAACCCGGGTTTTAAATAGCAATTTAATTATTTTGTTGTAGATGACAGCAGGCTCATAAGTGGCAAAAGTTTATAAACAAAGAAGGGTTTTTTCTGCTAGATGAGAATAGGAGATGGCCTATTTCCTGCATATTTTTAATCCTGCAAATATCACAAACATCAGCTCTGGTATTTCTGAGACTTCCCTCTGGGTGACTCCTGTGAAGATTAGAAGCTTTTCCAGTCTCTGATTGAATGGGAAGACATGCTGAGTTTTTGGCAAAGAGCATGTGTCTCCAACATTTCAATCGAACAAGTGTTAACAAAAACAAATCTAGCACTGGGGGAAAAAAAAAGAGAAAGAAAAAAAAAAGAAAAGAAGAATACCACCAGAATAAAAACGACTGCCCCACTCAATGAACTGAGGTCCCCTTCTTGGTGTTCACAGGTATCAAATATAGTAGTTGGGTAGGTGGAATGGCATCAAAGCCCGCGGGCTGGACTTCATTTTTAAGTCCAGAACAACACCAAAAAAATTTATTTGTATCTGATCCAGATACATACAGAAAGAAAAGGAAAAAGAAAAAAAAAAAAAAAAAAGGAAAAAAGGGCCAAACCTGTGCCTTCAAGAAGTCATTCCCTGCCCTGAGACAGACTCCCCTCACACCTTTAAGCAGTGAGCAGAGAGCTTGCAGGCAGTTCCCACATCCTCATGTTCTCAGAGTCAGGTGCTGGGATTTGTGTTCCTGCCACGTTCGGGTGTTGGGGGGGAGGATGGGGTGGGGGGTGGCAACTGTGATGCCCGTGGGCTCCCTGAAGCCCACACTCTCAACTGAAAAGTTTAAAAGGCTCTGGAGCTGTAAAGCCCAGTTTTGAGCCCACAGCCCCGCTAACAGACGGGAGGCAGACAGCACTGGGGATCAGGCCTTACAGTTTCTGAGGCATCCTTAAAACTGTTTTCAGCTGCCACTCCTCAAGGAGCCACGGTCACACAGAGGCTCTTCGTCCTTCAGATGCTGCAGATTCCTTACAGCTGGGCAGGGGCACTTTCAGTGTAGCTGTGTAGTATCCATGAGGAAAGGACCCCGGGCTGGAGGCCTTGAGGGAATATAGATAATAATACTTCCGAACAATAACCTAATGACATTCCAAGTGATTTCCAACATGAAAGCAACAGTCTGTTTTCTATTAAGTTATCACTTCATCATGTTCCCCCATTGCCTTCATTCACGCCTTAGTTGCCTACAGTCGTGATTTAAAACAAAATAAAACATGTTCGTAGGTAAGAAAATGGGTTCTGCTCCACATCTAGTGTCAAAAGCAAGCTGGGGTGAGGGACTCCTCCGGGAGCCCTCTGTGGACACCTTCCCCAGCCCCGCCGCCGAGAGGCAGTTTGCAATACCGAGCCTCGCTGAATGGAGGTGGGGAACCTGTGACATTTAATTTGACATCTCACGGCAGAGATCACCCTCTTCCTCCTTGCACCCTCTCTTCCTTCCCAGGAGGACGGCAGAGAAGCACCGCCCCGCTGCTGCCGCCCCAGCCCCGCGCAAAACCCGCGCAAAACCCGCGCTCCCCCCGCTCAAGGAGCCCCGCAGGCTGCAGGAGGGACAGAGCTCTCCTCCAGACAGGCGGACACTGATCAGCAAAGCCATTGCTTGCCCCATTAGGGACACAGATTTTGGCTTCTCCTTGGAAGCGGCGTGGGGTTTCCTCTCTGGAGGGGGGAGGGAAAAAGGAAAAGAAAAAAAAATGAAAAAAGGGGGAAGAGGGGAAAGGGAAAGGAGAAGGGGAAGGGGAAGGGGAAGGGGAAGGGGAAGGGGAAGGGGAAGGGGAAGGGGAAGGGGAAGGGGAAGGGGAAGGGGAAGGGGAAGGGGAAGGGGAAGGGGAAGGGAAAAGGAAAGGGAAAGGGAAAGGGAAAGAAAAGGAGGAAAAAGAAGAGGGGAAAAAAAAAAAAAAGAAATAAAAGCAACCAAGGAAAAAAGGAAAAGGGGGAAAAGGGAAAAGGGAAGAAAGAAAAGGAAAAGGGAAATAGGAAAAAAGGAGTCCGCTGCCCACTTCTCCCTCCCCGGGATCCCCAGGGTACCGCCATCAGTGCCGCCCCCGGAGCCCCCGCAGCGCCTCC